GGTACTACTCATAAACATCATTTCAAAGATTCCTAAAAACATTGTGGTTTGATAACTAATTTTCCCATGCACTTTTGATATGAAATTACCTAACTTTGGAAATTCAGAATAATATATAAAGTACTAAAGTGTTTTCTTATTCTCTTCTTACCTAAAATGATCTCTAATATTAGAAAATTATTTTCAAAATGGAGAAGACATATGCAACATATTTTAGTAATATTATTTGTCCTACTGTTGATACGTAATCAGCACCAAACTTTACCTTGCTCTGATAAGGCACTGGGGATATTTCTTTCTTTTGTCCTTAAAGTTGTTGTTAAACTAAGATTTTTAACTCCTCAACTACAATGATATTTTTGAATCACTCTTAGAAGTTCCTTTTTTTTTTTTTTTTTTGCTTAAAAGTATTTCTAAACCCTGAGAATGCTGTCTCTCTTTTCCTTCTTTTTTTGAGCAGCTGTCCTCAATTTGGCAATGTCTGAAGATATTTTTTGGTCTCAGCAACAAAGGGGGTGGAGTACTCAGCATCTAGGGGGTAGAGGACAAGGACGCTGCTGAACATCCTGCCCAGCACATTCCCTACAACAAAGAAGTATGGGATACCAAATGTCAATAAAGCCGAAACTGAGAAACCCCGCTTTACAGGTCTCAGATACTTTATTGTGGCTAAATGCATGATTATGGGTTAGAATTTTTGTTTTCAAACATCCTGAAATCTCATGTTCCTTCTTTATTCCACTTGCTTATAAATATTGACCTACAGGATCACACCTAGTTTTTAATTGAACTTTCTGAAAACTGCCCATGGAATGCCTAGGAATCATGATCTGATTGGATTATCCACTTTTCCCTTTCTTCATTATGACTAGTAGCAAAATGACAATGGTCACATTATCGTTAAGCCCGTGTTATGTCCATATTACTAAATAGTGCTATGTTTTCATGATTTGTGGAATATTTCCCTCATTGCTTCAACTCGTGGATAAGGAAGGATTCATTAAGGCAAGGCACTAATATCATCTATTTAATTGCTGTGTTCCTGATTTCATGTGTAAAGTCAACTCTTCAACAAACAGTCCCAATTCTATAGATTTATTGAGCACCTATCATTTTCCAGAAATAGTTTTATGTTGGAAATTCAGCAGTGAATAATACATGAACCTTAATTTTGTAGTGATTATGTTATAGAGGATGGGAAGATCTCAAATCCCCTTTTCTGTCAACCATCTTTGATTTTGGTCTATAATATACCAAAAACAAAACAACAACAGAATCTGGTGCATATAAATGGTTGCAGAAGTTGATACTTTTTTTGCATGTAAACTCTGTTTCTTGGGGACTGCCAAGAACCTTTTCATTAATTTCTGAGCTTCACTTTCTGGCAAATGTCTCTATTTTCAACTTGCTTGGTGTGCATTCCAGAGAACACTGACTTTGAAGTAAATTTTGAATGAAAGGAAATAGAATATTTGATGAGTTGAAATAATGTTAATAAGAATAGTCAACCTGGCATTTAGGGGGGAAAAGACATAAAAATAAAGATGGAAACTTGTGAGAGGAAAGAGACCAGTCATGCCTGAAGTTTATTTTATTTTCTATGCCAAGAAAAATGGTAACAGGAAAGAAAAGAAAAGGAAAAGAAAAAAAAAAGGAGAAAAGAAAAAGAGCAGTAATGTACCTTTCCAGTATAAGTGTAACTTGGAATAATTCTTTTCTTCTGGTACATAGCTCTGTCTCTGGTGAGTTATTTAGAATTCCTTATCTGTTTTATACTTTATTTCTCTGTAGTCATTGATGAGATTATTGGTTTCTTCTTTAGATAGAAAATGAGAAACATAAATGAAGCAATATAATACAATTTTATGTCTTTTGATTTTTCTTTATAGTTTCTTTCCTTTCCTAATGCTTGTTTTCTTAGTATATGCAAAATTATTTTATTAGGATGTGCAGGAGTTAAATGTTGTACTAATATGTTAAAATGTGAATAAAAGGATTTGATGCTCTAAAATTCTCAGGCTCTGTGAACCTACCAGTTTTTAAGTAATCATTTAACTTATTAAGATGGTGTTTACCAAAAGCTGAGATTTATCCTCCCTCTTCTTTTTCATTTAAACATAAGTTGAGATCTTACCCAACTAGGGAGTTATTTGTGTAAGAAATTCCAAAGGAACAATATAAATGTGGCTACAAAAAGTGGTTTTAAATTATGTAAGTATATTTCCTGGAGTTTACTGAAAAATGAGAGAAATTCTAATACTATGGCTTATAACTGGTTTTCTAGCAATGAATTTGAAGAAAAGGTTGAATTTAATCTCAGAAGTCTTAGTGGTACTGACAGCAGTGTAATTGCCTTTGTTGTGTGAGCAAAACAAAGAGAAGTATTTTCTTTTTTGTTTAAGTACAGACTTTGCCATCTATCTAGTGGTCTGAATGCAAGCAAATTTCTTAATGGATTGAGTAAAAATACTGATCTCACAGTGTCATTACAGAAACGAAATGAGATGGCACAGTTTAGTACTTGTCACAGAGAAATTACATAATAGTAAGTGTTCCCCCTTCTCAGTCAGTCATAGGCTATCCTAATTCATTTCATAGAAAGAATCTAAAAGAACTTTATTTTCTTAAAAATTTTTTAATGTTTGTTATTTATTTTTGAGAAAGAGACAGAGCATGAGTGGGGGAGGGACAGAGAGAGAGGGAGACACAGAACTTGAAGCAGGCTCAGGCTCTGAGCTGTCAGCACAGAGCCCGATGCGGGACTCGAACCCACAAACGGTGAGATCATTACCTGATCCAAAGTTGGCACTGAACCAACTGAGCCACTCAGGCACCCCTCTACGGGAACTTTAACTTTTTTTAAAAAAAATTTTTATTCATTTTTGAGAGAGAGAGAGAGAGAGAGACAGAGACAGACAGAGAGAGAGACATAGAATCCGAAGCAGGCTCCAGGCTCTGAGCTGTCAGCACAGAGCCCAATGCGGGCCTCGAACCCACAAAATGTGAGGTCATGACCTGAGCTAAAGTCAGATGCTTAACTGACTGAACCACCCAGGTGCCCTGGGAACTGTAAAGATCAACTAGTGCCTTACACATCTGATGCTTGTTTTCGTGATGTTCTCTTAACCACTAGCCTATGCTTTCCTCATGCTAATGAAGTGTTAATCTCCTAAGGCAATGGACATTTATAAATGTTATGTTGAAACATACAAAGTTGCCACTTTTATAGGTCAAACAGTTACATATTGGCCAATTTCATATGATTCAGCTTTCTATATATAGAGATATAAAAAACAAATCTTATTTCCCAAAAAAATTTCATATGATAAGTCTGCCATAATTTGATAATGTTAGAATGTAAATGCAGTTCCATTAGCTGTTTGAAAAAATTATAAAAAGACACAATTAGAAAAATAGTATAATCAAGAAAAGCCTTGAGCAGGGGTTGACAAACTAATCTGTGGGCTAAATCCAGCCTGCTATGTGTTTTTGTAGAACCCATGGGGTAAGAATTGTTTTTACATGTTCAAACAGTTGAAAAAAATCAAAAGAAGGATAATACTTTGTGACACATGGAAATTAGATGAAATTCAAATTTCAATGACCATAAAAATTTTTTTATGAGTGGGAACAACGCATTTGTTTATATATTGTCTCAGGCTACTTTTGTTCTGCAAAGACAAAGTTGAGTTGTTGCAATGGACTTTATGGCTTCTAAAGCCTAAAATATTATTTATTACCTGGCCGTTTACAGAAAAGGTTTGATGACCCCTGTTGTAGAGTCAAACTGCCTGTATTTGCATGCCAATGCCAATACTTCTAGGTAAGTTACTTAACTTGTATGAACCTTAGCTTGCACATTTTTAAATAGGCACACTAATAGTACTTGACTTCATAGAACAATTATAAGTGCTTGGTACATCATAAATACTCTATAAATGTTACTATAAATATTAATATTCTTTCAGAGTGCCATTGTAAATGGGAATAAAAACTTACAGATGCTTGAAAAGCTCAGATGGGTGATAATTGTTGCATCAACCATATCAGGATAAAACAAGTCACCAGCATTCTGTAGATTTTAACAGTAGATTGTAACCACTTACTCATACAAATGATTGTAATATTTACATCTCATACCGCATGGACCATCTCAAGTTAAAAATATGTAAGTTTCTAAATTTGCAAGTGTTAAGCTGCAAAGTAGAGGCTGTTTTCTCCCTGGGACAATGAACATCTGCTGAAACAATTTGTCCAACTGAGCATTTGCCTCTGCTGGCCTTTTTTTTTTTTTTTTTTTTTTTTTTTAAGAAATGGAAAAAAAGATCATTGTTTAACTTCAACTCTTCTCATCTTCTCAACCAAGAAACGGTTTCTCTTGGGACTAGATGTTTCTGAGATATGGAAAAGTAAAGGGACCTCAGCTTTTTATTTACTTTTTCCTATTTTCAAGTAAGGGTAAGTAGAATTTTACTCAGAGTGCCATGTTCTTCTTTCCTTTCTATTTAAATATTGTTTGAAAGATCACAGGCTTTTCTAGATGATTTAAGATTTCTGTAGTGAATTGAGCTTTGCAGCCCTTTCTGAGAGAGACTGGGAGGTGGGGTAAACCACAGCAGAAAAAGGGTCAAGTTTTAAAATAGAAAGACTCTTAACAAGTAGCTCAGATCTATTACTTGTATGCAAAGTCAGAAGGGTCTGGAGGGAAGATGATCCAAAATCTTGGAAGTAAAAGAAAATGTTCCCAAAGCTAAAATCCAATAGCATCCTAGAGATAATAGATGGTTTAAGTAGAACTGCTGATAAACTTCAAGTCCAAGACTTATCAGTCAGGCTACCTCTCCAGCTTTTCTACAGTGGTTTCCCCTGGGAAAGATGAAGAGAGGACTCTTCAAGCACTTAGCTTTATAATGTTGTACTTAAGAAGTTGGTGAATAATAACTATTAGAGTTCTCTGGGTAAACCAGCTTGAATTAAAGGTGCTTCTTTTGTTTCCTTACTTTAAAGTAGAGCTTCTCTGGTCCTTGGGGATTACACCAAGAGCAATGAGTCATATCTGAAATGAGGAAGGGAAAGTGTTGTCAAATTTCATGTTGATTCATAAGAGTAAGCATGAAAGGTTGTTTGCGTATTTCAACGGGCAGGGAAGCACAAGGGGAGAGCAGAGAATCAAATGTTTGAGCACTTAAGAGTTTCTATTTACTATGAAAGATTGAAGAAACTTGCTGTTTTCAAATAGAATGGACTCTATCATACATAAATTATTCCTGATTTTTGTTGTTTTCTAATTACTATTTTTGCTTATAGTACAGTCAAGTATAAAAGAAAGAAAAAGAAAGAAAGAAAGAAAGAAAGAAAGAAAGAAAGAAAGAAAAGAAAAGAGAAAGAAACTGTTCAGCTACCAAGTCAAAAAATATTTTGCCACCTGCTATGTATTTTGCCAGCCAGTTAAAATCTTTAGCATTCTTTGGTACCAAGCCTTAAAGATGCTTGTGGGGTGGAGGGAAATTTTCCTCTGTTGGAATCTTTTGGATGATAGTCAAATACTTCTGTAATTTCCTTCACCATTTTTAGCTACTGTTGGCATCATTTATTTCAAGAATGCCTGTGGAATGTCAAGAAGATGCCAGATATTATTTTGAATGTTGTATTTTAATATAATATGAAGCTAAAGTTGTTCCTAGAGACTTCAGAGATAAAGGTAGGGTGCTTCTTTCTTATCTTTTAGCAAAATGGAAAGCTTTAATTAAGGACCAAATAGTTCTTTTGGTCAGTCTCCTACCTGTGAAAGTAGATTAGAAAGGAATTTTTAGCCTTTGGCTACAGGCAGGAACAGATTTACGTGTCAGGGTGGAGGAAGTAATGGAGCAGAAGGAAAACCAGAAGCTAGACTTATCACTTAAGTTATCAAATGGTCCAAATATTTGGTGCAAAGGCAATGACTTCATTTGAATTGTTTTGTCCTGGATGTGGGCATTTGAGTCCTCCTCATTTAAACCTTTCAGAATAATGATTCTAGCAACACTCTGAAATAAACTTTCTATAGTTATTTCCCCAGTTGAATAAGTCTATAATTAGAAATTCTATCATTGCTGGCTAGCCTAATTCCCTGAAACATGCATATGAGGTTTGTTGTGCTGGCACCAATAGAGAAAGAATGATAGAGCTGCGAGGGACCTTATGAGATCATCTAATCCATACTAAAATCATTCAAAATACATGGTTCTTTAGTCACAGGTTTCCCAGGGATTTGTTACACCAGCAACTGGAGTATGACTAGGCCTATAACAATAAAAGAGGCTTGTTTGCCTTTCTGATCAAGAATCATTGCAATATCAAACAAAGGATAAATTCTTTTCTAAGAAGCTTATGACTAATTCAGGTCTCTACAAGCATTCCAGGAACAAGATTCTTTTTGGTTACCAAGATCATAAGTGTGATTTTGGCCCAGAGGCTTAAAAACCAAAGCACATATGCTGTGTCTCATTTGTTCTGTGGGCCATTGCTCTCTTCATTCCTATGCTTTCATTCCTATGATTTTTTTCCCCTTCTTGTTTTATTGAGAAACAACAAGTACAAGTATTTTTAGCTGGCTTACCTGAATTAATCTCTTATAGGGCTAACCTATTTGAACTAAGAACCAGAAACAAACAAACAAAAAAACAACTAAAAGAGAAAACTCTTTCCTGCTCTATATTTTTTTAGCTCCTATCCCATTATTTTTAGTTTGTGGTCCTGGGCAAGTCATTTAAACTCTCTGGGCCTCAGTTTCTTCTTCTGTATTGAATAAGAGTATGAGCCTAGATTACTGAAAGAGTCTCTTTTAGCTCCAACAATCTATAATGCAATCTATCATAAAGCAAAATTGTGACCTTTAGCATGAAGAAAGGGCAGTGGGAGAGAAACATGTTAGGAATTTTTCTCATTTCTCCCACTCCACAAATGCTGCAAATGGCTAATATCAGTGACTCAGAACTTTAGTAGGTATATTAACTTGGGTAAAGTTTCACCCAAAACTTACGTATTTAAAGCTGAAAGGGAGAGAAATTCTAAGCTATAATCTTTTATTTTTCCCACTTTTGACCAGTTTCATGACTCGAAACCGGTTCTATTTAAAAAAAACCTTGAGAGAGAGAGAGAGAGAGAGAGAGAGAGAGAGAGAGAGACCACGAGCAGGGGAGGGGCAGAGAGAGAGGGAAATACAGAATCCGAAGCAGGCTCCAGGCTCTGAGCTGTTCTGCACAGAGCCCAACGTGGGGCTCAAACCCATGATCTGTGAGATCATGACCTGAGCTAAAGCGACCTGACTGGATGCCTAACCAACTAAGCCACCCAGGCACCCCAAAACCTGTTCTATTTTAAAATAGAATATTGAATAACATATCATGTGTTAGTTTCTTAAGAAACAACAGCTAACTGAAGTTAGTAGTTCACATTGGAATTGAATTCTTCTAATTAATAAAATATACCTTTTTACTTTTCCTCATATTTGGGGGATAAATGTGATTACTTCTGCAAATGCCAGGTATTTTTTCCTAACACTCCTTTGTTAAAATCCTCAAAACACACGCGTGCGTGCGCGCGCGCACACACACACACACACACACACACACAAAGTTGAAAATATACTCCAGGAAAAAAATATTGCTAAAAATTTACTTAAAATTTTTTTTAATGTTTATTGATTTTTGAGAAAGAGAGAGCATGAGTGGGAAGGCAGAGAAAGAGGGAAACACAGAGACCCAAGCAGGCTCCAGGTTCTGAGCTGTCAGCACAGAGCCCGACGCAGGGTTTGAACTCGTCAACCACGAGATCATGACCTGAGACGAAGTCGGACGCTCAACTGACTGAGCCACCCAGGCACCCCTAAAAATTTACTTTTAATGATTTTATTCCATATGTACAAATAGAATATTTTCTCTTTTTATTAATGGCTTTGAGTATGGGGAGAATAAGAGAATATTTTATTGATAAACCTCCTGCTATTTTTGAGCTTTCCTCAAATGGCAGACACACCTATAGCTATTGGAAACTATTGGAAAGTTCCAATATTAATAAAATATCCAGTTTTGGTTAGACAGTATTATTAACAGACTGAGAAAGGAGCTCATATAAAAGATCTAGTTATGTTTCATTTCCTGAATTTTTATGTCTAAAAACAGAAACATTCTGTCCACTTCCTATTTTGTGGAGCTATTGCAGAAATTTCCTGCCATCACAAATCTGAGAGATAGTGAGTTTTACTTAAAAGCTGTATGTGGAAAGCCTACTAAATTTATGCCAATGTAGACTTGGTTCATGTGAATGATCTAGGAGCATATCTTTTCTATTAGATGATGTTAAGAATCAGTCTTGGTGACACATTAAATCTTTCAAAGACACTACTTTATTTTAACTCTCATCTACTTGTTATGTCAGGCTGATGAAGTTTAGGTTAGCTCAGTGACACCATTGAGCATTATTAACCATTGTAAATAATTGTACATGGACAGATAATAGCTCCAGGAATAGCTGGTAACCAATTATAATGCTCATGTGTATATTTTTCTACCACTCTGAAAAGATTAATTTAAAAATTTCCACAGTATCTATAAAACCTGATTATGCCAAGTTAAAAAATTTATCCATATTATAGAACCAAAATAATATAAATAGTTCTATGCCTTTTATGCGTGGAATACACAAATTCAGAGGACATTCTGAAACAGCATCTGTGGCTTGCAACTTCAAAAACCCTTCAATTTCAATCTTCTAGTTTGTTTTCATGGTATGTTCTGTTAGTTCTTATTTGAAAATTAAGAATATACTTCAGATAATATCGAACTCAATAGGAAGAGAAAACAGTCTATTTTTCATTGGATTCACGGTGGTAACCACAGTAAAAGCCAGTAACTTGGTGAATATAGTAATGTCTCTGTGTAAATCTTGAATGAAGAACATGTTTTTTTGCAAGATATCCAGGTGTATCATTTATTTTCTAGATTGCTGTGCTTCAAGGAGACCTCTCTGGAGAATAATTCAAGCAATAAGAAAACAAATTTTAAAACATTAGATAAGACATTCAATATATTTTTTCCAAAATCTATTTCACTGACTTAGTATATATTCCAAGTAAGAAGCCATTAGTTTTATACTTGGAATTTAGACATTTTAATTAGAAGTCTCTTAAAAATACATTTATTTGAGAGCGAGAGAGTGCATGCAAGCAGGGGAGGGGCAGAGAGAGGGAGACAGAGGATCCCAAGCAGGCTCAGCTCTGTCAGCACAGAGTCCAATACAGGGCTCAATCTCATGAATGGCAAGATCATGACCTGAGCCGAGATTAAGAGTCAGACATGATTAACTGACAGCCACCCAGGTGTCCCCAGAAGTCTTAATTAAGAAAAACCTATACCTTGATGAACTACTAAGAAGAGTCATAAGATGAATGAATATGATCTGCAGACTGAAAATGATCCAGTATTGTTTACCCCAGAAATTATTTTTTTGTGTTTCAACACTCAGCTTTCACCTAATTGGCACATGATACAAATAACAAGTCTTTTAATACTCTGAGCCATTAGAAGTGTGTCCAATGTAACCTACATTCACAAATAGAGGAATACATTCAGTTTTGCACAGATATGAAGGATAAAGAAATTCAGAAGTTAGATTTCTGAAAAGAATGTAAAAGATTCTCATTTAGGTATTCACTCATGTGAATAGCTGCCTGATGGTTCTAGTCATTCAGTTTTCTGAGAGTTGCCTTGTTATACAATAGTTGACTGGAAATGGCCCAGCTTTTGCTCCGACCATGAGTTTCACATATAATTTTCTGATATCCCCTGCTGCCATCCCCCGCCTCCTCCCCCACTTCCCATCAGATGTGGTGAATGTCAAGGGGTACTTCCTCACTGCTTTACTCCTTGTTCTCAGTTCCTACTATTGCTAAATTATGCCTTTTACATCCTTCCTTTCCTAGCTATCCTCTTCTATCCATTCTGCATGGACCCAAATGTGAAACACATGGGTTTTCATACCAGGCAGTTGGGTTAAAGATTTGGGTTATATCTTAAG